CAAAAAAAAAAAAAAAAAAAGCAGCCCCACAGTTCCAAATATTTGGTTAACCATTCAAGCCAAATAGGACAACTGTATCATTCAGTTAGATTGCAAACAGGTTCTCTGGGTTGTCACTGGAACTGCATCAATGTAAGAGCATGACTTGGTTGTGACTTTCTGAAGTGTGAGCCTCATTAGAAACTCACAGCAGCGGAGATACCAGGTGGTATGCACAGTATAAAGACCCAGACGCATAGAGGAAGGGGGTAATAAAGTACTAGGGATATGGAGAAGGCTCAGACTGAGGGCTCCCTAAAACTTGTGCAGTATCAGCAGGCATTGCAAGGGCTCCTTCTGAGCTAAATGGTTTTTGTGCATGGAGGCACTGCTTTCAAATGTATTGTAGGCTAAGCGTGCAGGCACTTAGTCCTTAGATATAAACCACCTACAGATAAAAAGCCCAGCTCAGCTTTTCTCACTGCTGACTGATTGCAAGGCCTTTGAATTCAGCGCAGTTGGGCTGTTGTGACTGCAGTCTGGAGAAAGCACTGAGCTCATAAAATTGGCCCTTGGCTTGTGTGAGTGAGAGAAACTTGGGAGAGTCAGCAGGTTGCACCTGCTTGCAGCAGGCTTTAATTGGGTCCCGTGAGTGTAGCCGCAGCCGTCTGTGAGTTGCTGCCTTGTTCTGCCACACAGGGTGTGTCAGACGTGTTCGGTGCATGATAAGCCTGTCTGTCATGTCTTCCATTCTTCCTCTCTTGTTAACAGGGTCCTCAGGGATTTAAGGGTGACCAGGGGCCAGCTGGAGAAAAAGGAGAGGAGGTGAGTTTGCTGCAATGCTCTGGGGCCAGTAGGGAAGGTGAGAGCTAATCTCTTGAGGGATTTTACTTATCTGGAATATGAGAGTCAGGCCTCAGTAGAAGCCAGAATTAATCTCTTCCCCTGCCGCCACCCACACGCTCTCTCATTAGAGGAGATGTCAGGTTGCAAATAAGAAGCTACCCTGGAAGCGGAGTCTCTGTGGTCTTTCGGGTGCTTGTTTCTCTTGTTTTCCCATGTGTCTGCCTGGCTGCAGGTGTGAGCTCGGGCTGGGCAGGGAAACAGCATGCACCTGGATGCACAGGGAGGCTGGTTTGCACGTGGCTCGTGGACCATGTGGGTTTATTTCATACTGTCATTCTGGTGTCCGTTCCCACCTCCTCTTCAGCTCTCCCCTCTGGCAGTCTTCCACAGTTTTCAAGCACATGCTCCATTAAGAGGGGTGTTTATAAAGGGTTTTGAAATGATGGAGATGTTGCATGCATGTAACACACAGGGGTAGCATGTGTAATAGAAAGCTATAATCCCGTCAGTAGCGTGCATAGAAGATGCAGTTATAATTAACTTGCTGGGTGCTCTGGTAGTCTGTAAGAATCAATTACCCATTTATTAAAGCACATATTCATCATTTATTGAATGTACCTCTAATATAAGGTCTGAGATGGTTTCTCTGCATCCTTCTCCCTTGGCTCTCTCCTTTTCTTAGTCTCTTTCCCTGAACCCCCTTTGTGTGACCCTTGGCTGTCCCCCTGGAGCTCATGGGCAAAGGGCAGTGAGTGCTTAAAGCAAGGAGCACCCATCTGAGCAGTGCTGAACTCCCTTTGGGAGCTTCAGGCAGAACAAGGGACCTGCTTAGAAGCTGTTAGGAGTTGTTATGGATTGTCATGGCGATCTTGGTGAGCAGAGATCCTACATCTTGGCACTAATTGATGACCTATCTCTTCCCCTGACTTTGTCACCTTGGGCAAGTCCAGTGGCATAACCTTGGCAGCAATTCAGGCACCAACTTAGTTTGGAGACATGATAAAAAATAGCTGCAACTGGAAGGCACCACTGCCCGTGTGTGTGGCAGCTGCCCCAGGCATCCAGCTGTGTTGTTACACCTCTGGGCCAGTCACTTGGGCCTCAAAATTTTCCCAAGCGTCATTTAATATGGGATGTCTCCACTTGTGGGAGTCAGCCAGGAGACGCCCAGTGCTGAATGCTCTTGGTGCCCATTGGCATCTCCTGGAAGTCTGTGCTCAGTGTCTCAGATCATCAGGCCTTTTAAGGTGCCTCAGGTTCCCCACATGGAAGATGAGCTACCCAGAATCAGTGGGGACTTCTGACTACATTGGCACTAATTTCTTGGAGCTGGTGTCCCCAGCTGTATGACAGCAGTGCTGTTTTCCTACCTAGGGCTTGCAAATCGTATTTATTTAATTATCTTGAAGGATTTTCACTGCTGCAGCTCAAAAAATACTGGATTAGATGCTTGAAAGTGCTCTGCACCCACAGCAGGGGCAGATTTTCCTAAGCACCCAGCACAGTGGGTGAACATTGTCTGCTAATCGCTTCTGAAAATGTGAACCCAGTTGTGGATGGTGAGTACCTGAGAAAAATCAGGAAGGAGCAGAGTGTGAAGGTTTTGGTAGCACTTGTGCAGCACTGAGTTACAGGAGATGCTTCTCTGGGCCATTTGCATAAACCACAGGGGCCATTAAATAAGGAAGTTGCTGGCAAAATCATTCCAGCACACCGACTGCTATCTCACCCATCTATTTAGAAACTCATATACCCGCAGTTGCATGGTTTCTGACAGATGAGGCATTGCATTGCACCACTTATGCTGGCCTTGTGTTTTCAAATACACTGAAGCTGCTAATGCTGGGAGAAGCTGCGTCCTCTCATGGACCAGCTTTGAGTCCTGCCTACTGCTGTCAAACAGCTAGCCCTCAATCAGAGGACTGATCATCTCCAAGGGGCTGTGCTGTGGTTTTTATGTGTTCCATGTACCTGTTTCAGGGGTTTGTGGGTGACCCTGGACCACCCGGGGACAAAGGAGAAAAGGGGGCCAAGGTGAGTAAATTTGTTCTGAGCTATAAAAAGGGGATGTCACGGGGCTTAGGTCATGGCAAGAAGTATTGCTAACTGCTGTGGTGCTGACTCTCTTTCAAGCCTAAGCTTCCAGCATCCTCCTTGGCCGGCATACCTACTGCCATGCTGCACAGACATTGGCTTTTGCTCCTCTCTCACCTAGACAAAGCCAACCCTGGATGTCCTCCTCACACAGACCACAAGCTTGATTCTTGTCTTGTATTTTCATGCTTGTGCATCCCATGTGTCCTGAACTAGCTCATTGTCATGATAGAAACCCTATTGGATCTTCATGGCTTCCCTCACCACTGTCCTCCCTTCGTATCCCACCTGCAGTGCCCATCTTTCTCTACTTCTATAATGGGGGATGAAGCTGTAAAAGGGAGAACTGTAGCTACTTTTCACTGCCAGGAGCCTAAATCAGAGGAGGTGCTGGGCAGATATGGAGGACGGGTAGTAAACTGTCTCTCGGGCATGCCCGAGTTTGAAGGCTGCAGGTTATATCTTAGCCATTGAGTGACTCAGAAAACACCCAAAGAAGAGTGAACACTGTTTTCTCACTGCTCAGAGCTTTCTGGCCCAGTTCAAGCCTGCAACAGGCAGGAGACATCCCTTCCAGGTTAGCCCTCTTTTCTGCTGTGTGCCTTGTGTTTATTGAGCTGCTCTTGTGTTGCTCAGTCACTGTTTGTACTATTTGCTGTTCTAGGGGGTGAAAGGAGAAAATGGCCTTCTGGGACCAGCTGGACCTCAGGTAAGTCAGCCGAGAAAGTGTCTTATCCTCTTTTGAGCTATCTACTAGGATTGTTTCCTTCTCTTCGTTCTCTTCCCCACAACCTTCTCCCTACCCGCTTGCTGGTTTCTGCAACCTGTTTTGCTCTGAGTTCCCACTTTGCTTGAAACACATAAAGTGAAAGGAGGCTTTCACAGGCCAAATTTATCACATCAGGCTTTGGTAGTGTTCGAGTGATGTTGTAGCCAGGATGGTCTAGGAATTATGTTAGTGGCAGGGATTTTTATGGGTAATGTCCTTTATTGGGCCAATTGCATGGTTTGGGATAGTTAGACAAACTTTTGAATGGAAGAAATTCTTCATCAGGTCTGTGCCACTTCATATTTGGGGCCCTCAAGCATGCCGTGCAGCTACACACAGGCTTGCTCCTAACCTGGAAGCATTGCTGTGTGTGTGAATGTGGTGCTTCGTGAGGACTAATTATAATTAGCGCAGCTGAGTGACAGCGCAAATCTTCTCCTCAGTATGTTGATTTCTCTTTCTCTCTTAGGGGATGATGGGTGTGAAGGGTGCACCAGGGTTTCAGGGCCCTCCAGGGCCTCAGGTGAGTGATTTGCATTTTTCTCAGTTGATTCCCATATATATGTGCCCAGTCACATCTACCTGATCTTCCTGAGGCCACCTGAAGTGCAAACACCCCAAGGAATAACGAGTCATGCAATGCAGGAGATTCATGCAGCTCATCTTTTTATATCAACGCCCTCATGCTTCCTTTGAAGAAACAACTAAACTACTTTGTCTTGGTCCGTGCTTTGCTATTGTATTGTTAAGTTGGGCTACACCTGGCTTCAGCAGCAACACGTAGGGGGTGCATGGAGCTCAGGTGCACCCCCTGACAGGCCACACTCCCTGCTTAGGTGACAGGCAGGGGGGGCAGGCAGGACCACCAGTGCCCACCCCCCTGTGAGCACTGGCTGGGGTGTGGGAACACCAGATGAAGCACCCCAGCCACTTGTGGGGGCACCACAGCTGCTTCCTGGTCGGTGTGATTGGCCGCGGGGGGGGACTTCCCCAGTTGGTGAGATTGGCTGCAGGGACCCTCCCCCCCAGTCACTGACTGGTCTGTTGGGGAGCACGTGCCCCACCCAACTAAGGTGGCACCAGTTGCCCATGCCTGGCTTTTCCTGATATGAATGCTATTCTGGTATAGTCATGCCCTTTTCATCTGCTGGCATCATAGGTCCTTATTATGTCCTAGTGTCCACAATAGGTTTCCTTCCTTAATTTCCTTTTGTGAGTATAAAAGCTGGCAGAGAAACCTCAGTCTGTCTGGCCTGCTCCATGGCTTTGCAAACATTTTATGCAAAACCAATGGGCAGTTTGGGCAAAAGCATGGAGATGCATGTCTGAAAATACAGTGAGCGAGAAACAGAGCCTGGCATCATGGGTCAATTGGAGAAACTTAACAGAGAATAAAAATTGGTAGGATAAGATAGAGTAGGATATGGTACAAAGTGCCTTGAGTGTGAAGAAAAGCAGTTTAGGGTGAAGTGATGGAGAAGGGCACAAAGAGAGGGGTAAAAGCAGCAGTCTAGAAAAATAGTCTTGGTCTCTTGGGTGTCTCTGTATCTTGTTCCAGGGAGGAATGGGCTCAACAGGTTCATCAGGGCCAGCTGGACCAGTGGTAAGTTCTCAATAAGTTTTCAATATGATATAATCCATGTTTTGAAGTACCTGGAATGCCATTTCTTGGCTCGGTCAGGTGCAGTCTGCTGGTTACCTCCGCAATGTGCTGATGGGAACAATTTGGAGGCAGTGCTTTTCCATCAAGATCTGGCATTTAACTGAATTTGAAACATTCTTCAGGCATGTGTCAGTTTTGGTTAAAACTCTGTTTCAAATCACTCCTTTGGTAGCTGTTGGCTATAGGATTTACTCTCTGAAACTTGTTGGCCTGATGGGCCATGCAAGCTTGTAGTGATCCTCTGAGCTTTCTACTGTTTTGTGTCAATGTGAAATATTGTTTGTTATTTGTATTGCTATAGTGGTGCAGAGCTCTAGTCACAAACCAAGTCCCCATTGGGCCAGGTTACTCTACAGACCCAGAACAAAAAGGAGGTCCCATGAAAAAGCTTGTGGTCCTGTCCTCTAGAGATTCACAGCTGTATTCAGCTCTGGGATCTGATGGAAATCCCCTCTAGTTTTCTGCAGGAACACTCAATTCATAGGTTTTAAGGCCACACAGGGCCTCTGTCTGGCCTCCTGTTTAACACAAGACAGAAGAGTTCACCCTGTAGCTCCTGTATTATGGAACCTAATAACTTATGTTTGACGAAGACATTAGTTTTAGGCAAAATGACCACCTAAGTTTCCAGTCAGCATTGCTTTAAGCGAGTGGCCGACTCTTCAGGGTGAAACTCATTGATGGGTAACAGTCAGGGAACCTATTGTGAAACAATTATTATTCAGAAACTAATTTTCAGAAACTATTATTCAGAAATTAATTTACCTGTGCTGCTCTGTTGTAGGGAGAGCCAGGGCAGCCGGGGCCAGTTGGATTGCAAGGAGTCAATGGCTCTCAGGTGAGTCTGTATTGGGCAACCTCAGGAAAAATCGCATGATTTATGCTATTTTATACCCCTCTTTCTTTTGCCTCCTGTGCTGCTTGTATGAATCTGTGTATTTTTGCTTTGTCTGTAGGGAGAAATGGGCCCTTCTGGCTTGCCAGGCCCACAGGGGCCCAAGGTATGTTGTCAACATTTGTCCTTCCAAGTTAAAATCTCACCTTGTAACAAAAGCAGTTGTTGTGGAGGCCTTTGTGAAAAGAAGTCAATGGTGTACCCAGTAATGAAACCCTGCACTCACAGTACAAAATCCACCAGCATAGTTGGCACTAATCAGTAACCAAGAAAGTGGGTTGGAGGGTGGGTTGCAAAGAGTTAATGGCATTTAACTACCCATCTCAGTATTTGCAACTTCAACCCATGCCATGAGCACTTCTATTCATCTCCTGAATGCCTGAATTGCAACATGCGTTGTAGATTCTATCAGATGGTGGGACTTAGAGCTGAGCAGGGAAGGGTTTTCCTCTAACCCAAGCTTGATGGGATTTCAGATATTTTTCCCATTTCACCCTGGGCAAAACAGAAACCCCTCAAAGTTTGTCCCCAAAATGCATAGAGATCCACACCTCCAGTACAGATCCAGGACTTAACCTGGGTTTCCCATGTCTGAGGTGAGTGCCCTGACTGGGTAAATTGGGGTGAAGAAATGTGGTCTCTCTCTCTCCTGGTTTGGGCAGAAATTCCATCCTGGACCCAAGCATTTTGCTTGACGGGAGTTTGATTGAAACTGGCTTATTGACAAATTTCAGATTCAGTCATTTTCCAATGAAAACCTCCTCTTTCCTGGAAACTCCCAACCTGGATTTCAGGGCTTTTAATACAACTATGCTGAGTGTCACCTGCCATCATCCTGTCCTCTTTCTGTAGGGACCACAAGGTTTGCAAGGGAGACGTGGACCCCCAGGGCCTAGGGGATCACAGGTAAAACTTTCTTTGTTGATGTCCTGTATGGGGGTAGTATCATCTTGCTGCAGGCAACACAGCATTTTCAAAGTGATGCGTTATGCAGAGTCCCCTGATCAGATTTGCTAAGAGACGGGGTTGCTCACCTTAAGTATTGTGCCCTGCCAGGAATTTGGAAGGCCCTAATCATCCAGGCCATGTTAACAGCTGTCTGAAGGAGTGCCCATAGTGTGCAGAGGTGAAGAGGATGATGACCTGGGAGTGAGGAGTTCTGTTTCCCGTACCACCACTGGATTTATAGTTTGACCTTGGGCAGGTCACTTCACACTTTTGTTTCATCTTCCCTACCCATCCCATGTTTATGAGTCACTGAAATGGGAGGCAACTTGCCCACAGTCATGCAGTGAATCAGTTTTGACACTAACATTAAAATCCAGGTCTTTCAGCTCACTGCCCTTTTCTCTAGACCAGGCAGCTTGGCCAGGGAGCATGGTGTTCACATGAAGATGGGGCTTGTTTCCGTTCCCACTTATACTCCAGTAATGCCTACAGGCTCCAACCAGAACTGGGGTCCAATTGTGGTAGGTGCTATATATAAACACAATGGGAGGCAATCCCTGCCCCAAAGAACTTACAGGCTAAATCCACCTGCAGAGCGTTGATAATGTGGTTTAGCACCTCTGTAAGGTACTTGGCATCTTTAGATGAAAAGTGGTCTTTGAGACATTAGGCATGATATTGAAGATGAAGAGATGTCTGATTGTTATCCAGTCTCCAGAAGGGGCTGTAATAGAACATGTTGCAATGCCCAGCAACTTCTCCTCACCTTCTTCTGAGGACTGGGTCAGATTTGTGGTGTTCAAAGACTTGCAGTGAGGTAGTGTGGAAGGAAATCCATTGAGAGGAAGAGACTGATAGAAGAGGTTGACTTCCATACCTACAATGGTGGTGGCAGGTAGTGACACCTGGGAGTAGTGCTAGACCAGGCAGGTGGGTCAGTGTTGGGGGTGAGAGCACAGGAAAACTTGAATGTAAGCAAGTAGCATCCAAGATGAACTGATAACATGAAAAATTGTTGTTGTTGATGTGGACATGGACACCTAGACAGGTCCTGTTTCTGTAAGGGGCTATAGGAAAACTTAGGTCCATATTCGCAAAGAGCATATTTATATGTGTTTCATAGCTCTGACTTACCCCTTGTCTCAGAGAAGGCCATCACCTGAGACCATTTCCCTTGGAGAAAATCTCAGTGGAAACACTTCTAGTGTGGAAGTCTTGAGAGGCTTGTAGGAGGGCGGAACAAGGGATGATGAGATTAAACAACTAAAGAGCCTACTTTACTCATGGGCATAAACTACTGAGCACAGGGCCTGAGGGTACATGGCATTCAGACAGACTTGGGTGTGAAAGTAATAGCCTGAGATGTATGAACAAATGCTGCCCTTGATCTGTAATGACAGCTTCTTCCACCCTGAGTGGAGGGAAGCGGGACGGGATTCCTTTAGATTGTGATTTCATTTAAAGTCTAATTTTAAGGAATCATGCCTGTATTTGTTTCTTATTTGCTTTTTCTTTGTCTCTAGGGTCCAGTTGGGATAGAAGGCCCCTCTGGTCCTAAAGGAGACCCTGTAAGAGTCTCTTTTTTTTTTTTTTTTCTCCCCCTCCTTTTTCCTATCTTAAAGTCTTAAAATACTCTTCCTCATCAAGCTTCCAGAAACCTGCAGCTATTGCAATCATCTCTTGTAATGGTTGCTGATGTTGCATGCATCATAATGGGCCCATCACTGTAATGTATGGATCTTTATCCCTGAAGGAATTCAAACGTGCCTGTCTTCTCCATCTTAAACTGGGTGAGGTCCAGGCTGGCTCTCAAACTCCATCTGGCCTAAACAGAGAGTGGAGTCTTCCCTTGTACCCTGTGAGCTTAGCTTGTTTGTTGATGGGAATGAATTCCAAGGCCAAGGATATCTACTGAGAAGACCTTGCCTTTTGCCCTGAAGCAGAAGAGGAGGGCATTAGGGGCAATAGCTATTGCTATTGATTTTACATGGAAAGTAGTCAGAAACTCTGGTAATGGGCATTAGCATTAACACCCCAAGACAGTGCAGGGGTTATTTCATAATCCCCTTACATAGTGATTGGGTTTCTCAACTTTAATTCTGGTCCTTTTGTTTGGTAAGCCCAAGATTAACCCGAGTAGAAAGGAGATACTCTCTTCAGTCCTTTTCCCGATTGTGGTCTGGCACAATCCTGAAATCTTCAATCTCCTTCTGCCTTCATTGCTGGCATGACTAAGGGTTGCTAGCTTGCCATGAAGGTTCAGTAGTGATCGTACATGCAGAAGTAAAAGTGTGATGGTATTGGTGGGAACACCTAAATACAGAAATGTTCAGATGCAGGTCTTGGAAGCTACTTGCCAGAAGGATCTGCCTTATTGGCAATAGGGCTTCCTGACTTGGCTCCCACAGGATACCGCTGCTAAGCTCATTCACACAAACCGTGTATATGAAAGTCTTAGACTTCATATTCAGTATGGGTTTCTCCACTCACCTCCTTTCCTGTAGCTGCTTGCATTGTGCCTTGTCTGTATGAGGTATGGCACCTGGGAGTCTAGAGCAGACCAAACATTCCTGACTGCAAAGTGGGCAATATAAAGATATAACAACATTTCTGTCATTGAAATAAGAACTTGCCCTTTTGGAAGCCTCGTGTGCTCCCTGGCCTTCCCTTCAGTTCCTTTTCTTTCTTTGTATTTTACTCACCCTACACAGCTTCCCCTTGATTTTTGTCAGTCGGTTTAGATTTCTTGGGGTTGAGGCCTGTTACCTCTTAGTAAGTCAACCGTGATGGACTAATTAACGGCAGGACAGCTTTTTCACTGAGCCTTTTTAATATACATAGTTCTGTTGCAGGGAGAAGCTGGTCCTCCTGGGCTAAGAGGAGAGCAGGGACAAGAAGGCCCCATGGTAAGTCTGACAAGGTTCTTTGGGTGAATCTGATATCTTTTATTAGACCAACTTAAATAGTTGGGGAAAAAAATTTTAAGCAAGCTTTCAGGTTCAAAACCCATTCATCAGGCTAAGGAAGTTTCAGCAGTTGGTGTGTGGCTCTTCCTGGATGGAATGAAAAGTAAAGAAGCCAGAGGCCAGGCTGGTCTGCATACAAGATGGGCAGTCAGTGAAGATGTAGCTTGAGGAGCCAATGGGTGAGAGACAGGCCGGGTAGAGGGGAGAGAAGGGGGATGAATAGTGGAGAAGTACCTGGGGAGTCCCACGTCAGGCAGGTTAGAATGTGTCATAAATCCAATGTCTATATTTAGTCCATGATTTTTTTAGTATCCATGGTAAGTCTTACATGAATGTAGACAGCCCTGATTTTTTTGAGAGAGCTTACTGAAGAGGCGAGCAGTTGAGCATAATGAGCACTGTATGCTCTCTTCTTCCAGCTTGCACTTACCTGACATGTATTGCACAGGAGTGAAAGGAGTGAACATCCTTCTGGGGTTTTCTCTTAAACCCAATTCTTGCCTTTCTTTCTGGAGTTTGGCCACCCCTCTGTGAGAACTCTCTAGACAATGTGTATTCCTGCCTACTGCATCGATGGCACAAAGTAAAACAATCTGGCTTTCCCCCTTACATGGACATGTTGCACGTTCCCAGGGTACTCCACTTGTGGTAGAGGAGACTCAGCATCTTACATTCCCATTTCAAGAGGAAAGTCAAAGGCCAAGTCTTTGCTGATGCCTCCTTTCCACTGGTGTGTTACGAGAAGTGGCCCTGTCTGACTTTCCCAAGCATTTCTGGTTCAGTGCTTCCTTTCCCAAAGGGTACCAGTTACCAGGGTGGCAGAATAGGTCTTGCTAACTTGCCCCAAAGCCTGCTCCCTATCTCACCTTTCACCAAATCAGACAGTGTTTGCTACTAGTAGTAGTTTGTGGCTGCTCTCAGGGACTAAGTTAAAGCTGTATCTCAGTGTTTGGGACTTCCATAATCCACTGCCTGGTCAGATAGGTGTATTCTAATACAGTGGTGCCCAATCTTTTGGCCCTGTGGGCCAGATGAATGGTGTGAGGTCAATGTGCAGGCAGGATCTGGTCCATGGGCCTGGTCTGGCTGGCCTAGCTGGGGCCAGCCTAGTTGTGGCCTCAGCCCTGTGCACTGGATTGGGCCCCACCTGCACAGCAATTTAATCTGATCCATGGGAATTGGAAATTTGGGGTGGAGGAGGGGTGGCAGTGTTCATTGCCACCTCTCCCCCACTGTTATATCTCAGAATCTGTGGAGATCCCTCTGGGCCAGATGACATGGCTCTAAGAGGTGGATCTGGTCCACCAGTCAGAGGTTGTACCACTGTCCTAATACGCAAAGCAGAGAGTAATTTTTAGAGTAATTTTTTAGTTCAATTCCTAGTTCATCCACAGACTTTGTGACCTCTGACCCATCCTCTAAGCTATTGTGCTTCACAGTTGCTTCTTTGTAAGGTGGGGATAATGCTGCTTTTCTCTGCAGGGTGTGATGAGGCTAAGCTCTGTAAATGATTGCAAGGCCCAGAGATGCAAAGGTCACCAAGTTCTTGCATAAAGAGAATTAGCCTGCCCTCATGGTCTGGCTGTGCTGATTGTCAGAAATTAGCCCAAACACCCAGTTACTCAGACAAATATGCCTGCTCCAGGCTCTAAAATTTCCCAAGATGTTAGTTCAGCAGAGTGCTCATACCTGGGAACCCGCTCACTTGTGCACTTGATGAAAGAAATGGGGGGAAAAAAACAAAACTTTTCTGACTTTTATTTTTCAAGGCCTCCTGCGGATTGCTAATGAATTAGCCAGCTGAGGGGGTGGTGAGGTACTGTTTAGAGAACCATTTTCCTCTCTGTTTCTCCTTTTCTCTTTTATCAGTGGATCAAAGCTTGAACTTGACAGGCATCTGATATGGGAGAGCCATGTGAACGTCAGCCTGGGTTAAAGGATGGCTCCCTTTGCTAATAGTTTCCTGGTGCTACTCCCTCCTGGGGAGTAAATCCTTACTAAGGCATCAGCCACAAGGACACTACAAATTAGATTGGTGTTTCCCCATTGATCATGAAGTTCAAATGCTTCTTTGCTGCCATATGCCTTTTAGTGTGGGAGTGTTTGAAGGTCTGCGTGTGTTTTTCATCTCTTGCTCCTTTTTAACTCTAGCTTGATGTCTCTTTTTAGGGGTTGATTGGAGTGCCAGGCCCAAAGGGACTCTCAGGGGAGCAGGTAAGTCTCTGCACCTCCACAATGCAATTAAACTCCATGATTCTGGTTCTGATCATATCGGAAAGTCTTGTCAGAGCAATTTGACATGCTACAGAGTTGCTGGAAGCTCAACCTTCTGTATCAGAGTTTAGTCTTGTCAGCATCTGAAATCTTAAATGGGGTTGATTTGGGGGGAAAGCTAGAAAGTCACTTTTGTGGTCCTTTGAAATGATCTGAGCTAGGGAAGCTATCTGGAGGGACAGAAGGAACTTTGCTACATTTACCTGAGGGAGGCAAGGGCGGGGGTGTCTCCTTAGCACAAGTCAGGTCATGTGGTAACCCATATGAGGAAGAATGCTAAGAAAGACTGTTAGTAGCTTTCAGGTATATTAACGGGTGGCAAAAAGGTACCTTCACTCCACGTCTGCACACACTGAATATACTCAGAATGGCACAAAACCTGGGAGTTGGATTATAGTTAGCCATCAGAGAAAACAAGGCCATTTCACAAGGTTATAGCAGTTGGGCTCCTTTTCCCCCATATTGACATATCGCCCCTGTTGTATAGATGCAGTTGAGTGTAGTGACTTGCCCAAAATCTCCCATGGTGAATTTGGAAATATAACCCAGCTGTCCTGTCTCCCTCCTTGTGGGAGAAGGATGGTTAGACAGGAAGGATGCTTGGTGTTGGGGAAAGTACAATTTGTGTTCAAGTTTAGCCAGGACAGCAGTCATCAGCACTCTTAGATGCTCTTGGCTATAGTCTGGGGAATATTTCGGCTTACTGTGGTTTGGGGGAAGCTCTGTGACATGGAGGGGCAAGACACTGACCTTTTGGAGCTTTGAATTCATATCCTTTCCTGTAGGGGGTCACAATTATCTCCCATTGCGCATGGCACAAACTCCGTGCAATCTGACACAGGCGACCACAACTTGCAGTTGAGGCTTGGTGGAGCCCAGAGCTAGTATAGCAGCCTTGCTGTGTATCAGCATTGAACTCAAGAAGGTGTTTCTCTTTTGGGAGGTTTCCCCAGTATTTACACAACTCATATTTCTCCCAAGCCAACGCTGATGGTCTGTGTGTTTTTATGACAAAGAAGGTCCATGTCCTCAAAGGTATTTAGATGTCTGAAAACCCCTGTAGAAACTGGTAGCCTAAATTCACAAAATGAAAAATTGGAAGCGCCCTATATAAAACAGATAGGAAGTGGCTTTGATATTTGTTAATAACAGTGCAGCATCCTTCTTTCTCATCTAAGTAGTGGATTTTTTTTGCCTCAGCTCTAAACCACAAACTCCATCACCTTGCAAGAGCAACCCATAGTAGGTCTAAAGTTCAGACTTTCATTTAGCGTATGGAATTGCAGTGCAGCCTTCTGGTCAGTGTTTTCTCTTCCAAGGTATGGAAAGACCCACCAGAAATGAACTCTCAATTATAGCTGGTGCCAGTTCCTCCTCCAATACTGAAATCAGATTGCAGTGCTGCTCCACCTTGAAGAGCATCCTAGTTCTGTCACTCTTCACTGTTATATTGCAGGGTAGCGGAGGTCCAGATGGAGCAAAAGGGGACATAGGAGCCAAAGGCAACAAGGTACAGTACATCCCATCACTAGTTTGGAAAAAGGGGAATTTCTGTGGCCTTTCCATTCTCTCTTGCTATTCAAATGCATTCCTGTTTTATGTTGGAGCATGTTGGTCTGGTTGCATTTCACTGGTATGAAGAGGGAGAGTTCTTGTGGTCGGGACATCCCCGTTTTGGGTTTGGACCGCACTGTGCTGGCTTGTGAAAAATAAATAACCAATAGTTACACTCACTAAAGACCTTCACCGCAATGCCCTTTGAACTAGGATAAGTTCCTGTGTCTCATAAATGTTTTCATCCCTGTGGAGGAGACTGATAAGAAGAAAATCCTACTCTGTGAGGCAAGGTAATCTAGCATCTCGCAGAGCAAAAGGAAGAGCTTTTATTTCTCTTCCCTCTGACATAGGGAAACCTCATCCCTATTGTAGAGATGGGGAATGGAGGCACAGGGGAAATTAAGTGTCAAACCCAAAGTCCTACAGGACATCCATGGCCGAGCAGGGATCTCAGCCTAGCGACCTATCTCTTACAATGTTTTTCTTGCCTCTAAAAGGGTTCTGTTACCCTGGCTCCATTTAGATGAACCTGATGGATGGAAAGAAGTGATGCTCTGTCTGTTCCCCACTGGCTTAGGAGGGCAGAGAGGTGGGATGTGGTACTAGACCACCATGAACCTACTTTAGGCTGTCTTGGGCCCTTGATAACAGAGGAATCCCCGCTCTAACCTAATGCTTAACTGATGGCATGCAAAGCAAATGCCTTCCTCTAAAAGCAATAGGCTTCAGAATCCCATGTGTAAAGAGCTGATTGGGGAACATGGACCTGCCCTCCAGAATAACTCATCATTGCCAGAGACCTGGCAGTAAAAGAAGACAGGATCTCCAGAAGAGGGGGGGAGGGGAAACCCCAGAGGAGTGAGAGAAGCTGGGATGGGGTCACCCCAAGTGCCCCCTAGCAATGCAGACAAGGTTCTTTGGGTAAATTTGATATCTTTTATTAAGCCAATGAATTAGTTGGAAAAATTGTTCTTTGCAAGCTTTTGGGTACAAACACCCTTCTTCAGGCACAGGGAGAGTATGCAGTTACTTTGTGTGCTCACCCTGTGCCTGAAGAAGGGTGTTTGTACCTGAAAGCTTGCAAAGAATGATTTTTCCAACCAATTTGTTGGTCTAATAAAATATATCATGTTTACTCAAGGAACCTTGTCTGCCTTTGTCCTTAGACCAATACAGCTACAACCAAAAATCGTAACAATGCACACTCTCTACTTCGTTTTCATTGTAGTCCCTGCTGGCTGTCCATGACTTCTCCGTGTCTTTTTGTTTCCAGGGGGCACGAGGGCTGCTGGGGACAAAAGGCCCCCCAGGAATTCGAGGTCAAATTGGTTTGCCAGGGTTCCCTGGACCCAGAGGGCTGGCCGGGCTCCAAGGACCTGATGTAAGGATTTTTTGCTTCTCCAGATGTTAAATGTTCTGTGAGAAAATGGCTGCAGCGCTACATGAAACAGAAAATACCCATGAAGCATTGTCTTCTCCCTGCCTTGACATTTACCTTGGAGAACAGTGTATGATCCCTGGCTGTTGTAGTCAATGGCTAATGAATCTGCATGACGATCCATTTTCCTGTCTCTGTCTTTCCCTAAGCCCTCAGAATTGCTTTATTGCCCTCTCCCTTTTCACACTGGTTTCCTGAGAGAGGCGGGGTGGCGAAGTCTCTTGTCCTGTGTCTGAGATTTCTCAGCAGCTGTATGTGCCGTTGGGTTGAATGTAGTGGGTGGGGGTTGACGAGGTCTGTACCTTAGCCCCCATATACTGCACTGAGAGAGTGTTTGGGACTCAATGCCTCTTTCTATGGGGAGATGAGCAGTCGTAGTGCAGGTGTGAGTCACACAGAGGCACCAGGCAGGGTTGAAGGGACCTCAGGAGGTCACATCTAGTCCAACCCCTGCTCAAAGCTGGACCAACCCCAACTACATCATCCCAGCCGAGGGTTTGTCTAGCCGGGTCTTAAAATCCTCCAAGAATGGAGATCCCACCACCTCTCTGTGGAACTGGTTCCAGTGCTTCACTGCCCTCCTTGGGAGAGTTTGTCTTAATATCTAACCTAAACTTCCCTTGCTGCAACTTGAGACCGTTGCTCCTTGTTCTGTCATCTCCCACCACTGAGAACAGTCCAGCTCCATCGTCTTTTGAACCCCCCTTCAGGCTGCTATTAAATCCCCCCCACCAGTCTTCTCTTTTCCAGACTAAATACGCCCCATTTCCTCAGCCTCTCCTTGTAAGTCATTAGCCCCAGCCCCCTCACCATTTTCATTGTCCTCCACTGAATCCTCTCCAATTTATCCATGTCCTTCCTGTAGTGGGGGCCCCAAAACTGGACACAGCACTCCAGTTGTGGCCTCACCAGTGCCAAATAAGAGAATAGTCACTTCTCTCAATCTTTTGGTGACATTCCTAACAATGCAGCCCAGTATACTGTTAGCCTTTTTGGCAACAAGGGCACTGTTGGCTCATATTCAGCTCATTGTCCACAGTAACCGGCAGGTCCTTGTCTGCAATGCTGCTACCCAGCCAGTCAGCCCCCAGCCTGTACTGGTGCATGAGATTGTTCCATCCTAAGTGCAGGACTTTGCACTTGTCCTTACTGAATCTCATGAGATTTCTTTTGTCCAGTCCTCCAATTTGTCAAGATCTCTCCGAATCCTAGCTCTAATCTCCAGCATTTCTATGACTCCCCCTAGCTTGCTGTCATCTTCAAACTTGCTGAGGGTGCACTCCAGCCCATCTTCCAGGTTGTTGATGAATTCATTGAACAGGACAGGCCCCAGGACCAACCCCTGGGGCACTCCACTTGATGCTGGCTGCAACTAGACATTGAGCCACTGATTGCAACCCTTTGTGCCCAATGATCCAGCCATTTTTCTATCCACCTTACAGTCCATTCATCCAACCTGTACTTCCTTAGCTTCTTTCCCTCCCATCACCTCTCACTGTCTCTCCTCCCACTGCCTCCTCCCACTTCCCTTGCACTGAGCATTTTCTCCCTCCTAGCTCCTACTTATTTCCTGCACCAGTCACCTTTTTCCAGGTGACTTCCCACCCCCATAATCCTCATCCCCTTATTACAGCTTCCTGGCTTGCGGGGAATCATTCTTGCCTTTTACCATGTCTCTCTCCCCCCACCTTCACTTATCTAGGAGAAAGCAGAACTCCCTTTGGGTTCTACCCACCTCCACTTCTCCACATCTCCCTCTTTTGCAGGCAATGGATGCATATATATCCATGCACTACAGTTCAGAGCATCCTGGTGCTCCAGGCCCTGCCTCTTAAGGCACACCCTGATGAGAAATGTGTGATGTAAGGGCTCCCTCTAATGGTGAATCACTGTGTACTGTCCTGCTAAGAAAAGAAGCTGTTGCTATTTTCTTGTTTTACAACCCAGGCAAATTCTACAGCAGTGAACTTTCTAGTGGCTAATCCCTACCTCTGCCCTAAGTTTCCCTAACCCTGAAGGAGTGGAGAAGAGAACCGACGGACAGTTTCCTTGCCCATCCCGATGGCTGCTGGCAAAACCTTGAGCCCGTGCCATCATTTCCTTCCAACTGGTTGACATCTTACCAGGGCAGAAATGCAAGGGAACTGAAAATGAGAAGCTAAGGGACTTGCACGCACACAAGAGAGAAGCAGTGGTACTCAGATACTATATAAGGAGGGCTACCTATTCTGTTGGCACTGCACCCTCCATATCAGATAACAGGGCAGGTAGAAATTAAGGCTAGATTCTCTGCTGGGGCGCAGGGGCAGGGGAGTTGAGGCAATTTGCACCAGTTTATACCAGCAAGTAACTTGGTCCAAATTGCCCTGGAATTTTCCAGTTGCTGCCTCTGCAGTCAATTCTAAATTAGCCAGGCAATTAAATGATGCACTGGCACTGCCATGCTAAGCAAAACTGGCCAAAGGGGAGGCAACTGCTGGATATTAAAGACAATTTTCCTTGGATCGTGTGGGGCTCGTATGAGTCTGTATGCTGGTTGTCTTTGGTGGCTCAGATCTGCTGGTTGCTCTACAGGTGCTGTTTGTGAGGCTTTCAGATTGTTTTCAAACTGCCAGCACATCAACCTGCAGCTGAGAGCCATTTTGGGCTTTTTTCTGGCTTTCTATCACTGGAAAGAAGAATGCTGCAACTGGGATGATGTTAACAATTAAGGAGGTGGGAATGCTCACGCCCTCTCAGAGTAAGCCAGGGGACTCAATCTCCTGTCTCTGGCCTGCTATGCTGGTCAGGTACAAGCCATCTCAGCTTGGAAAAGATCCAAGCTGGGGGGTTTCAAGAGGGAAGATTTCAGAAATGCCTCTCATGCAATGCAGATTCAGTGCTGAGCTCCAGGGCTGCACCAAAGCTGAAGTGTTTACCATACCATTGAATCCTTGCTGAGCATTTGATCTGTGTTGGGGCCAGACACACATGGAAAGTAAAGAGAAGTGGGGATTATTTTCTCTTTGCCTCCCCCTTTCCTTCCTGACAAACCACACTCCCTGAAACAAACAGCATTTCATTTTTGGCAGGAAGCAGGTTGTGCCTAACTGTGGATGCCTGATTGGGCCCTGATAGCATATTAGCTGTTCAGACTGGGTGTAGGAACCCTCCTTGTTCACTGCACAGGGAATAATTACTCACACGCTATCTCCTCACTACCCAGTGCCCTTTCCAGCTTAGTTTGCAGCACACCCCATCTGGAAACTACCCTGACTTACAGATAGGAGCTGAGTGTGGTTTTCTGTGACAACCCCTCACCACTGAATGAGGCTCCCAGGCTTTGTGTGCCGCTCAGAGGGCACCTGGGGCAACTCTTAAGCATCCTCTTGAATCAGTTTTGTTGCCAGGAGACTGAATTAATGATCCAGGTGATTGCAATGAATCAGCAGGTTCCACTTAGCTTGTTTGCTCTAGCTAGGTTCATGGTTTTACAAAATGAAACACTGGAGGATTTGTTCCAGGGGTCAGCAACATTTTTGAGCAGAGTGTCAAAAAACACCTGCAGCCTTGCCTTGTAAGATGTTGGTGTGCCAGGGGCAGGTGGCAGGGGAGCCGCAAGGCACCCAGTCCTTGATGTGGTGCTGTAGTCCTAGCCCCTTCTCCACCATCTGCCCCAAGCTGTGTGCGCCAAACAAGATGCCTTTAGATGCCATGTTCTGGCACCTGTACCAAGAGTTGCCTACTTCTTTTTTTTTTTTCTCTGTTCCTCCGTTGGATAAATGCAGGGCTAAACTGTTCCCATGTCAGGTCTTTCCGTCAGAGGCATGGAGGAGCAGGGGGCTCTGTTTTTGTTCACACTACACATGTACAGCCCCACGCATCAATATACTTGAGTTATTGCCTTGGGCCCTATGCCAGCATAATTAGCAAATAAGCCCAGACCCATTCTCCCAAGGGCTCTGATCTCCACTTGATGTGCAAGAGATGTGAGATCATAGTGAGAAAGCAAGGGAGACCTAGTCCAGCAGGGGGATTTATCTGGAGGGTTTCTTTTTGCTTAAATATAATATAAGTGGTTGTCCCTTGAGAGCTGCATTGGGTGCAGGGGGAGGGCGTAGAGAGAAAAGCAAAATCTCCAGGCACCAATTGGATCTAGCTCAAGTAACAGCTAATCTAAGTACTGTCTTGCAGGCAGTAAACTCCCTATGATAAATTACAGAATAGTTACCAAAGGATTTACTGACATAATGCTGCTTCTTTGCTCTTCTAGGGGGAGGAAGGACAGATCGGTCTGCCTGGCCAGAACAGCAGTGAAGGACCAAAGGTTAGTCTGAGCCTTGTTGTTGTTTCTCCTCTGCTTTCTTTAGTAGCAAGTATAAGCCCTCTGCCTAGCAGCCTTCATCCATGGATGTCAGAACGTATTAAGCTCTTTTGCTTCTGCAGTTGAATTTCAGCAGTGGTTGTGTGCGAAACTCCCCTACGCTCCTGGGAGAATTCCAGACTCCAGGCTGAATGTCAGTGGGGAAACTGAGGCACGGGAAGAAAAGTGAATGGCTGATGTCGGTGCCATGTTGCCTGTGTGCTGGCATGACAGTTGTAGGTTGGCGCATTGCAGCCTCTCTTTGGAGGAAGCTTGAGCAGTAGAGCCATTTCCTATGATATGTCATTTTGGTCAATAGCCTCCCAGCAAGCTGCTTTGTCTGTGGAGGTCTGTCAGTTCCAACCTCATAATAAAACAAAGCAGATGTCCTTTATTACATACAACATCATAAACTGGGTTGAGAGGAGGGCAGATGAGTCTGTTGGCATTCACTGTCTGTCATGCAGTTTGCACAGAAAGCATGCACAGATTCAGCCATTTCATTATGCATCCAGTTGTTTTCCCTGTCCCTGCTGCAATTGGCTTTGCTGACGCTGAGAGCAAGGGAATCTTGCTTGTTAATATGAAATGGTACTTAGTTTGGTGGTTTAAATGAACAAATATTCCAGGAGACCTTTCCCATAGTTCTTAGATTCTGTTAAAGCTTTTTACCTAGTATTAACTTTGTATTACATCTGACTTCACAGGATACTTTTTTTTTTTTAATAAATCTATTTGAGGGGTAGGCAACCCCTGGCACAGGTGCCAGAGTGTGGCACATGAAGGCATTTTGCTTGACGCACACACCTTGGAGCAGACAATGGGAAGGGGCCGGGGCTGCATTGTCTTAACAGGGATCAGGCCTCTTGCGGCTCCCCCACCATCCTCCCCTAGCACACCAACATCTTGCAAGTTGAGGTTGAGGTTGTTTTTGGTACTCTGCTCAAAAACATTGCCAACCCCTTTTTGATACATTATTGCACGGGGAAGGATCTTCAAGAACTGGCTGGTAGAGGCAAAGCCGTAACCTCGGTTTTTCCCCATAGAAGCAACTCCCTTTATACCGCTGGTTGGTAGGGTGATATCAACTGGAGGAGTGACTTTTTTATAATGTTTTGTAGCCCTGTGGGGTCAGGCCAACTCTCAGGATCTCAATATTGCACTGTTAGACAGGAGGGTGACACAATTGTATATTTACCAACACACAAATCAATTAGGTGCACACACACACACACACACACACACACACACACA